ATGCATCGGGGTACCACAGCTTGATGCCAACAGCTATCGAGATTATTCTTGCTCTCTCTCCAAGATTGTCAAGCAAAATTCTCAAAGATAATTTTGTTGCCTTTATAGATTTTCCTGTAGAGTTAGAAAGTGACAACTAGCAGACATAAATATCTGTTCCAATGGCTTTCTGTATTTCTCACTGTGTATGAATAAATTTATGCTCTGTTTTAGACGTTAATCTAAGGTAAGTTTGGTTGGTACATTTCTTTTTGGAACTCTAGGGATGATCAGTTTCGTTGTTTTCTTTTTTTGTTGATCACTCATGTGCCAAAATCATGTTGTGAGATCAAAGTGAGCCTGACTCAGGCAATCACAAGAGACTTGATACAAGAATTTCAGGACACACATGCCATATGATTGACTGCTAAAGGAAAATATTGATTTCTATTTATTTTGTCTCTTGTTGACATGCAATTATGGTCACAGTCATGATTCGCACATAATGGATTGGGGAGAGGTTGTTAGGCAATGAACTGAGCATAAAATGATATTTTGTTGTTGCCTCACATTCGATCTATTTTTCTGAGTTTGAGTTTATTAACTAGGCGGAAAAGTAGAATCCCAGAGTCAAGAGTAACACATTCCAGACTTAAATCTATCATTCGTGAGTGTAGCCAGTCTTGCTAAAATAGATCAATTTGTGATGTTCTGACAAAATAGAGTTTGTAGTCCTTCAAAGATCACAATTTGAACTATGCTGACATAGCTAACGCAATTTTACTCTTAAGTTGCTAACTGTGTGAGAATCTGATCTCCCTCTGGGATACTTCACCATCTCTAAATTTGAGACAAAGAAAATTTTGAATAAAATCGTTAGGATCAATGACATAAGACAGATAAAACCTTTGCCACAGTTTTCATTTTGTATAATGTGTTGGACATTAGCACTTCTGCTATTTTTACTGACATCAGGGTGATGAGAATGCAAAAGTATGTGGTTTCTTGTTACTAACCCATCTACCAATCTCCATAACCAAGGTAATAAGCCCTTTGCATTTTTATGTGTTATGAGCATCAGAAATAGAAATCCTCTTCATGGCTACCACCATAGCCCTTTGTTTAGCCATAGACTTCCTTTACGAGGACTTATTGAATAGCTGTAAAACTACATGTCAAATAGTTTTTACATTTATTATCCATATGGTATTGGGAATAACCTAAAATGCAAAGTAAGTCAGTGCTATTATTATTTAGAGGTATAGGAATGGTTTCTTAGTTGTCCACATCACCACAGAATAGAATCATACCTCATGTATCCCTGAGACACTGGGAAGAGAACCCTCGTCTGGGCCTCATTCCTTTGAAAGAGATGAGATCAAACACTGACTGAGAGCCCGGGCAGGCTCTTTTTGCACTGTCATGTACAAGTGCATAACCCTGGGGATTCTGAAAATTCAGAATTAAGCTCTTGTATCTGCAGTAATTATAAAGTTATATGTTGTTAAGTCAGGACATATTCCATTTTGCCAGCCTTATTTATAACTTGTAAATATTTAGACATATGGGACATGTGGTATGTAGGTTATTATGACTCATATTCTGGGCCTATAGATGTTAAACCCATCTAAATTTCTATCTTAGGCCCTTCCATGGTCAATTGAATTCTTCAGTTCATCTCCAGTTGCTAACTAGTGTGAAAGTTGATCACAGGAATTGGGTCATGCTTGCCATACCCAACTCAAAGTCAAGAAGTGAAGGGGAAAAAGACAGTCAAGGCACAAAACGCTGCTCCAAGAATGTAATTCTCCACAAGACTGACTGCTGAAACTACTTTTTGTAACCTGAAACTGGTTTTTATCTAATATCTACCATAACAACCCACAGTGACTCTAAAACTAGTTTTACTCACCACTGTCACTCACCAATCAAAGCTTTCCAAAACCTTACTATAGCCAATGAACTTTCTGTAAAAACGCTATGTAATGTCTCTTCTTTTTATAAAACTTCCAAGTTCCTTTTTGTTCTTTGAGCACACTGAAGACCACCCAGTCTGTGTGTATGTACTGAAATGCAATTTGTGCTTCTCAAATAAATATTAAATTTAGAGGTACTTCTCCACATTTTTATCTTGGTTTCAACAGTAGCCATGTGGTACTTAAGGTGTAGTAATCCTAAGCTCCTTATACCATATGCTACATACCATCACATACATAACATCTTTATGGTTTTGGTCATGATGTTTTCTCTGATTGAAATGGTCTTCACAACTTGTCTGGCTAATTCATTAGTCTCTTACTATGCAACTTGTAAATCACCACCTCGAAGTTAAACTTCTGACTTTTGCATACTCAATTTTCTCAAAGTACATTGTGGAAACTTTATTCGTATCACCGTCTTATGACACTATCTTTCCATTTCCTTCTATCTCATCTAAAAACATCTATAAACTTTTTGAGGGAAATTTTAATTTTTTCAATATATTTTATTTTAAAGATGTGGGTTCAATTCAGGATTAGGTATACAAGTGCACAAGTGGACATCGTACGGTAAAGTTTGGGCCTTTCTTTGGTCTCCACTTTGCCTGGTTTTAGAGCAGGTACTCTTATTGGTGTTGTGATCCCTCTTGGCAATATCCCGTTACTGCCTATCCTTTTCTTATAGTATTATGATAAATGTTCAGGGTCCACTTATGAGTGAGAACTTGTGGTACTATGTTATTGTTTCTGTGATAGATCACTGAGTATTATTGACTCTAAAACCATCCAAGTTGTTGGAAAGGCCATTTTAATCTTATTCTTTACCATTATATTAGTAACACTTAAATATGTGCTGAACTGAACAGTATGGTTGAAAAACATGTTATTTCACATTTCATTGAACTTAAAAAGACAACTGCCAGCCGGGCTCGGTGGTTCAGCCTGTAATTCCGTGCTTTGGGAGGCTGAGGTGAGTGAATTGACTGAGCCCGCGGGTTCAAGACCCACCCGGGCAACTTGGTGAGACCTCATCTCTACAATAAATCAAAAACTAGCTGGGCGTGGTATCGCGTGCCTGTAGTTCCAGCTACTTGGAAGGCTGAGGCGGAAGGATCGCCGGAGCCCAGCAGGTCGAGGCTGCGGTGCCCGGGAGCGGCCACTGCACTCCAGTCTGGGTAACAGAGTGAGACTCCAACTCAAAAAAAAAAAAAAAAGGCAATTGCCTTGAAAATACTATCTACTAATTACTAAAGTTAAAAGTTAAGTAATCCATTAGTGAAAAGTTTTCGCTAATTGTATAAAAGAACGTTCAGTCTTTGCCAAAGCCAATTCAGGGTTTAAAGTACTTATCTTTCCACAATGAAATATGTACCAAATAATTATGGCAGAGGCATTATAATATAAAATGCCATAAAAATTAAGCTTTGAATTTTGCATAAAACATTAAAGCTGTGAGTAGAATACCAGTGCTTGGCTGAGTGCAGTGACTCATGTCTGTAATCCTAGCACTTTAGAAGGCCAGCACAGGAAGATCACTTGATAACATAAGTTTGAGACAAGTCTAGACAACATAGGGAGACCTTGTCTCTACAAAAAAAAAAGAAAAAGGAAAGAAAAAAAAAATAGCCAGGTGTAGTGGTGCACATCTGTAGTCTAAGCTACTCAGGAGGCTGAAGCAGAAGGATAGCCTCAGCCCAGGAGGTTGAAGCTGCACTGAGCTATGATTGTGCCACTACCCTGACTCAAAAACAACAAATACTAGTGCTAATTCTACAGATAAATAATTTTGTCTAAATCACAAGTGATGAATAATATTAACCAATAATATGTAATTTAAATTGTGTTTAACTGCAAATACTTATGAGGAAAACTATAAGAAGCTGTATTTTAAGATTTTTAATGTAATTATTTATTTAGTTTATTAATTTAAAAATCTAGAAAAAATGTATTTCTTTAATTGAGCATCTTGCTTGAAAGTTTAAAAACAGCCCACTTTTTTTAATGTCACAAAATTTATGTAATATAGCTTTCTATAAGCATTGGTTGGACTTGATATGTGAATCTGTGTCAGCCTTAATTCTTGACCATTGTGATGAGGGAAGTAAGATATTAGTATTCTCGATTATTTCTGGTCATGACATATTTTTACTGGAACAAAAATAGAAGTTTTAACACTGTATGTTTTCATAAACTGAATATCAGCATTAATCTTACCTACTCCTGATGCACTGACCTGCTTAGTGTTTTTTTCTGAATTTCCTGGCCTGGGACGCTTAGATTCTGATAGTACTGCATTTCTAGCCTTCACCATTTTCCTGCTTGCCTGGGACGCTTAGATTCTGATAGTACTGCATTTCTAGCCTTCACCATTTTCCTGCTTGAGAGTGTACCCTGAAACCCTGTTGGCCTTCTCCTCCCTTGCAAATTCATAGTCTCTACCTTTTAGCCCTCTAAGCAAATGATAGCCAGTTGCTTTAGGAAGAAACTGATGCAGCCGAATGCCTGACTTTGAGAACTACATATCACCTGGATTTTGCTTAGAAATAGTTCTTCTTCAATGGGCAGAACACACTCCATTACGTTATAGTTTGACAAACCCTTTGTGTTACCATGTTCTATGTAATGTGCTTGAGGGTTGCTTTCCCAAGACTCAGTTTGACAGTATTTAATCCTATGCATAGCTCTTGAATCTTCAACTTCCCCAATCCCAGCTTTCTAACCCAACCCTGGGATCCTATCTTATCCTGTCCATGAGGTTATGGTCTGACATTTATTCTTACAAAATAAAAGCAAGGAGGTTATTTATTAAGCAAACTTCAATGTTTTGAACTATATTGATAATTGGAAAAGACAGAATACGTTCTTTGAATCAGCCAATCAAATATGGTTTTGACATCAAGTGAGTTCTTGGATAGAATTATGACGAAAGTGGAAAAACACTGAAGTATAACTATATAGTTATACTTCATATAGTTAGGGCTATTTACAGTTAGTGACCAGATCACATGCTAAAACATTTTTATTTAATGATGTATATCTTACCTTGACTTCCACATGTGCCATCAGTACTGCAAAATTTGTTAGGTGGTTACAAGAGCATGTGGTATGTGTCTTATTTGTTGTCAGGAGCCGGCATCCTTGTGTGGACCAATAACCTGTCATTGTACGCTTGGAATAACTCCAAAATGAACAATTGGGGTTGAAATTTTCCTCTGACTGCTACAGGGAAAAGAAAATCAATAAACCCAATAACCATTTTATGATTGCGTACATTAGGTAAGCATTTTCTTTACATATAACCACAACCTCATACTTTGTTCCAATTTTTGTAGAGATGTCTATTAGTGTTTTCAACTTAAGTGGGTAATCACCAGTTCTAAGCAAAAGTGAATATATGCTGTTGTTTGTTCCCTCTGACTAGAGGGAGGTTCACTTTTTACAAACTATTAACATTAAAAGAATACTAGTATCAATACTAGAATCACATCAATTAATTTACATTACAAAGTTAAAAAGTTAATTGCTCTGAATAAGCAATATCTGAAAGGATGGTCTTCAGAAATCTTTGTTGAATTTACAACTACAATCTTTGTATATACACAAAAATGTATCTTCACATAGACATAATTGGTTGCAATATCATACATGAAACCATGTCTAGTTCCACTTAGTATATTGCTGTTCTTTTTTTAAAAAAAATTGTATTGTATATATTTAAGGTATGTAACATGACTTATAAAATACATATAGATAGTAGAAAGGTTATTATGTGAAGCAAATTAACATGTCATCATCTTACAGTTACCCTTTTTTGTTTTTGTTTTTGTGGCAAGAGCAGCTAAAATCTCCTCATTTAGTATGAGTCCCAAATACAGTTCAATTATATTATCTATAGTCCTCAAGCTGCACTTTAAATCTCTACACTTGTGCTAGCTAGCTTTTTTAAATTATGGAGAAGCATTTATAAATCCATTTATGAATGATTCTACCACAAATATTTTCATATACAATAATTATTCTCCTTTCCCAAATCTCATTTCTAACAAAAAAATCATTACTACATTTTACAGAAATGCTACACAACAAATAATAGAAAAATATTCAAAGAAAATTAATATACTTATTATTCAGTGTCATAATGAATATGAATAATGTGGACAACCTCGTTTAACATGTCATTTTCTTACCTTGATATGTTTAACAGTAAACACTACAGGATCAGCCAGATAAACCTTATTACTGAACTCTTTGTTTATTGCTGCTGTAATGACTGGGGAATTAACAATAACAGAATGATTTGTGGACATAGCTTCTGTTCCCAACTTCATGCTGGCATTCTCCGTGGACAAATAAGGACCCAAGTTGTTATACAGGACAAAGGCCACTCTGATCTCTCCTAAATAAATAAAAATGTCAATTGCAAATTGGCAAAAACTCTTAGTTTTTTATGTTCCACTAAAATTAGTTAGTTCTAATTAGATAGAAAATCAAATACATATATTATGTATTTACACAAAAATCAAGCATTTATTTCAATCAAAATGTCAAGTCATTTATAAGGAAAGTCCAATTATGCTGATATAACTACATATCAGTTTATTTTAAAAAATGAACCTCAATCCCTACATCACTTCCTAAACATAAAAGCCAGAACCATATAGGTCCTAGAAAAAGTACAGAATAACCTTTTAACTCCAAGGAAGGTAAGGTTGACTTAGATAAGATTCCCCAAAACACAAACCAAAAATGTAAACTGAACTTTATCAAAACTGAACATTTGTGTCTATCAAAATACATCACAAAGAAAATGAATAAGCAAACCATAGACTAGAAATATACATAAACACAGGACTGGTGAATATATAAAACATTTCTGCTAATCAAAAATAATAGATAACACATAATAACAAGAGTCAGAAACACACACTTTAGAAAAAAGATAAATGAAAGGCCAACAGACACATGAAAATGATTCATAATTAGATAAATGAAAATAAAGACTATATTGAGATACCATTTTATGCCCACGAAAATCCCTAAAATTAAAAAGACTGATTCTTAATGTTGATAAGGGTGTGGAACATATAGAACTCTTATACACTGCTGGTGGTAGTGTAAAATAGTTAAACCATTTGGAAAAATGTTTGGCAATTTTTTATAAAGTTAAACATGCATCTACTCTCCCTAGATAGGTGAAAACATATATCCACAAAGAAAAGAAAACTTGTATAAGAATGTTTACCACACCCTTATTCATAATAGCTTCAAACTGGAAGCAACCCAATTATTATTTATACAAGAATACCTTATAGCATATTAATATAATAAAATATACTATGCATCAATAAAGAGCAAACTACTGATAAATCATGACTGACTCTCAAAAATATTTTGCTTGATTAATGAATCCAGACAGAAAACAGTATATAATATATGATACCAGTTATATAAAGTCTAAATATACAAGCAAATTTTGACTATAGAAATGGCAATGAGATGAAAGTTTCACTAGGTAAGAAGGGGTGAGAAAACTGGTAAGAGACAACGGAAATTTTCTGGGTAATAAAAATGATTCACTCTTTTTTATGTGATATTCAAGAGCTATGTACAACTGTCAAATTCTTCAAAGTGCTTAAAGTGTGCATATTTTAGTGTATATAGATTATATCTCAATTGCAATTTAAAAACAAATACCAGCCTGGGCAATATAATGAGACCTTGTCTCTACAGAAAATTAAAAAAAAAAAAAAAATAGCCAGGCATAGTGACATGCACCTGTAGTCCCAGCTACTCAAGAGGAAGAGGTGGAAGGATCATCTGTACCTAGGAGGTCAAGGCTATGGTGAGCCATGATTATGCCACCTCACTCCAGCAAATTGCAAATTGGCAAAAACTCTTAGTTTTTTATGTTCCACTAAAATTAGTTAGTTCTAATTAGATAGAAAATCAAATACATATATTATGTATTTACACAAAAATCAAGGATTTATTTCAATCAAAATGTCAAGTCATTTATAAGGAAAGTCCAATTATGCTGATATAACTACATATCAGAGTGAGACACCAACTCAACCAAAAAAAAAGAACAAACAAGGATTCAAAATAATTACCTGTCCTAAAACTCAATTATCATGTTCCTTTTTTTATTTTATTTTAAAGATGTGGGGTATGGTTCAGGGTTAGATATACAAGTGATCATCATACAGGTAAAGTTTGGGGCTCCCTTTGGTGCCTACTTTGCCAGGTTTGAGATCAGGTACCATTATTGATGTTATGTGCTCCCCCACCTCTGGCAGTTTTCAACTACTGCCAATTCCTTTCTTACAGTATTATGGTAAATGTTTAGGGTCCACTTATGAGTGAAAACATGAGGTACTTAGTACCTTGTTTCTGTGATAAATCACTGAGAATTATAGACTCTGGATCCATCCAAGTTGCTGCGAAGTCCATAATTTTGTACTTCTTAATGGCTGTGTAATATTCACTATCTCCACAACGTCACCAAGTCCTTCCACAGTATTTTTTTCTTTTTTGACAGTCTCTTAAATGCAATCCTCTATAAAGCAAACTGTCACTTATGCTTTTTTATTGCTACATTTCTTTTCTTTAAAAAAGTCAAGCCCTATGTCTTAACTCTGGCCCCAACTATTGTATTTATTAAGAAGAGGAAGTTACATTCCTTATCTCTGAATTGTAGAGTCAAGTGAAGACAAGGAAAAGTGAGTAGAGGTGAAGGTAAGTCAGAAAAAAAAAAGTAATACATTTTTTTGAGGAAGAAAGTTGCTCAACATCTAAAATGTTCTCCCAAGTTTGGGATATTCCCTACTCGTAGGAACTTAGAGTCTCAAAATGGACATGCTTTCCCTGGTTGCCTTGCAAAAAGGTTGCTCTGAGCATCTCCAGTCAGATGCAGCAGCCTTAGACTTCAGATGAGGTGCAGGTGATGCCAAGAAGCAGGAGGTGGTAAAAGCAGCAACAGCAGCACAGCCAGGTATGGTGGCTCACGCCTATAATCCCAGCATTTTGGGAGGCCGAGGTGAGAGGACTGCCTGAGCCCACAGGTTTGAGAACAGCCTGGGCAACTTGGCGAGACCCCATCTCTACAATAAATATTTTTAAAAAATTAGTTAGGCGTGGTGGTGAGTGCCTGTTGTTCCAGCTACTTGGAAGGCTGAAGCGGAAGGATTGCCTGAGTCCAGCAGGTAGTGGCAGCGGTGGCTGTGAGCATGCCACTTCACTCAAGCTGGATGACAGTGAGACTCCAACTCAAAAATAAAATAAAAAATAAAAAAAGGTAGCAACAGCAGCAGTATTGCAGTTATTGCATGAGAGTTCACATGTGGCAGCAGAGATGAGTCACTACAATGATTCCGTGCTGTGGAACAGGCTGCTGTCAGCCTCCTTGCTCTTGTATGTTTTCTGGGCCTGATTCTCCAGGCTTCTCAGTGATTCTATGAGATATTCATGATCCTTTCAGTAATCCAGCAAAGAGATTATGATGAGAGCTACATAAAGGAAAAGTGCATTCTTATCTAATCTGCAAGTGTTCACATAGTACTGAGCAAATTATAGTAATTCACTAAATACCTATTATCTGTTATAACATATAATTTAATTTTAGTTCTTTCTCTCTAGGTTTAGTTTAAAAAATGCTGACTTCTGAAAGGTTTAAAATTAAAAAGACTCAAGCATTTTTCTTGTTGATACTAACAACTTTAATTTTAATTGACTTATGATTAGCTGATAATTTATGCCAATTTCCACTTACAGAATGGTGCCATGTTGCCATCTACCCTGTCTTACCAGTGCACTTAGTCACCGGATATTGTTTCAAATTCTCCATTCAAAATTAATGCTTAAATGTGATTTTAAAAAGATCACAGTACATGAGTTTACTAAGCAATAAAATAAATGAACACATAACTTTAATATGACTAATACAGACATATCTCCATCTTCATTAGCTCTGTGTCTGAAGCTAACTATACAGTTGAAGAGGAAGAGTAGAAGCCAGTCAGGAAGCTCATGCAGAAATCTGGTTTTGTTCTATCAAATCTTAAAAATTCCCTTAGCCAAATGAGTAACATAATAATGATTTATAAGTTCAGCTTATAAAGGGATTGGCAGTAGTGGGAAATTGCCGGGGGCGGGCGGGGGCATACCTCATCAACAAGGGTACCTGAATAATGAACATTTGTGTACCTAACCACATCATTAAAATAACAAATTAGAAAAAAATAAAGTTCAACTTATAATGTTTCTAACATTTTCAAACCATTTTATTCTGATGACAGCAAATATAATTTTTTTCTCGATATTACTTAACAAGATCTTTTTTCAAAATTATTCATCTTACAGTATGAAATATCAGCCTTGAGCTGGTTTTTATGGCCTGAGATCATCTTTCTCTTATCTAAGAGGTGAAAAGATCTTCCTCTCTTGGCAAAAAAACAGATTTTAAAAATTACATTATTAGTGAAGCTTGGGACATAGTTTTTGAGATTACGTATTTATTGAATTTTATTTATTTTCAGTATATTCAATCTAGTATTAAGCTACCTGATCCATATTTACCAGTTCCATTTGCCAAAAGCATCTCCTTCCATTTGAATATTCTGCCTGCTTTGCAAAGAAAAGGCACAGAAACTCTCTCATAAAGAAGTTGAATAAAGACAAAAATTCCATGTAATTTTGAAAATACAAGTAAAATTTTGCAAGTGAAATCTGCAAACTCAGTGAGAGTTACTCCTTTGAGGAAAAGGTCAAATCCTCTGGACTTTGGTGTTTATGATTTCTCTCACGTTCAAGTTTCTGACAACTGAAAAGTATGAAACAATTACCAACTCTGATTGAAATTTTTGTAGAGTAAATATCATTGTAATATTGATGGTGTAATAGGTTAGAAGAAGAAAGAAAATGGTATAGAAAGAGGAGAGGGAAATCTCTTAAATAGTGGATCTAAAGTTCCAATCCAAGAAGCAGTACATTCCATCAAGGAAAAAAAAAACAAAACCTCTAACCTACCATTTCGACCATTTTGCTTTAAAGTATTTGCAGATAGCTGGATAGTACTTCCATGGCCCATGTTTTCTGGAAATTTTAGGTCTTCTAAGTTTCCTTCTGTGCTCAGCCTCGCAACTTCCAATTCTGTTAATAGCAAAGAGACATCAGTGCTCATTGAGAAACATGCCAAAGCTACGATAATTTCCTAAATCACTAAAGAATTTCTGAAATATTTGTCAAATCAAAACACTGAAATCTTATTCTATTTGTCATGCTTTATAGTAGTTCAATCTTTAAGAAAGTATATTGCTAGTATTTTATTTTTTCAAAAAAACTAAATAAATGCTATTAAAATTATGTAAATAGTACAAATGTATCAATAATAAAGTTTACAATTCAAAATTTAAGCCCAGATCCTAATATATTTCCATTGGCTTTAAGTTAATTTTCAAAATATAGTCTTTATTTTATGAATTAAGTAAAACTCTTTCATAATTTAGAGCTGTCCTATCATATCAATATTTATCTATCTTTAAATTCAATAAACTTAAAACAGCTTTATCAAATCTTCTAATATAAAACTGTCAGTTACATCCTAACTCACAATAAAAATAGATTTATACCCTTTATGAGTCAAATATCACAATCATCAAACATTGTTTTATCATTTTCACTCAAATGACTTATTTCCTTATAGTATATAATTCAAATGTACTCTTATTATAACTAAAATAATCTATAAATTCTGTATTAGGAAGATGAAATTTTGCATCATACTACACATAAATAGATACATACATACATACATACATACATACAATTCTAAAAAGCTAAATGGACCTCATTGTAGGTGATCTCAGGCTGCTATATCCAACATTGGATTTTCCTAAGGAGGATAAAACACACAATTTTCTACCTTCAGGCCAATGACAGGTGATGCTCCTCTTATTTTAGAAAAAAGAACAACTTGTCTCCATTGAAATAAAGCATCACTCATATCAGGGACACCAGAGAGACTTTTTTTTTATTTCCCTCTTCTGCAGTACAAGGGTCTCTGGACCTTCTGTATAACAAAGGCCACTTACTAATATTGTCTGTGTTCTCCCTGACAATGTCAGTCTTCAAAAGGTTATCAGCCAGCACAAAAGCACTTTCCTCCACAGTATCAAGCAACATGGTGGCTGCACGTAGTTGATCACTTGTAGCCAGGTCTCTCCACGCATTCAAAGCTTGTGGCTGGAGGAGGTTGTTAACTGTCTCGACCATTGCCTACAAGAGGATGAAAAGAATGACAGAGGTCTCTAGTGAACCCACACAACTGTCAGAAATCCAGGTGGACATGTTGCCCAGCAAGCAAGGATCAGCGGTGTGCATGAGTTCAGTATTGTCCCAGCCTCCCCTGTGACATGCTGCAGCAGAAGCATTCATTATTTTGTTCTGTAAAACCCTAGCTGAGTCTTTGCAAGGCAAGAGGAAAAACTGTTTTTGTTTTGAGGATCAACAAAAAGAGCCATGCTTGCTTCTTAAAATCAATAGCACAGTCTTCAGTAAGACTATGATCACATAATTAAATTATTTGGCTGGGGAACTGTTGACAACTAATTTAAACCAACAGTTTTACCATATCACCCGGAGAAAATGATTTTGATTTTTTTCTATACATCACCATAAAACTGCATGCTGAACACAACAGAGATTAAAAGAATGATCAGAGACAAGACATTCCAAGAATTTATTGCCTATAGGTTGAGGACTCACAGAGCAAACCAATTTGTTTTTTAGCCAGCTAGTAAAATGTCAGAATGGGGAAAATATCAAAGCATACATACTCCCAGGGGCTTTGGCTATGTTGTGTGTAAAAAGAAACCTTCTTCATGCTGTTTACTATTAGAGATGGGAGTAAACAGTTGAACCTTACTACCTATGGCCCTCAGGTGTTTTATCTTTTTAAAAAACAGCAGTAGGTACACCCACACATAGAGACACAGCACCACAATTCTCATTGCTTCATCCAAAAAAATCATCTCTGTAGTTACAATTTATATATTTCCTGTGGTTTGCTTTATGTTGTATGTTACAAAGAAAAATAGTTCTCCCCATAAGGTCCTGGGTTTCATTCAAACATGGAGAATTACAAAACAGAAAAATACAATACCTGCAGTTTGAAAGTGATCATCCCTGAACCCATTCATTATGAACTATGCATCCAATCCAGAAATAAAGTTGAATAAACAGCCAACACAGACACAGTTTCTAGACAGCCCTTAAGTGTTTTAAAACAGGACTCACATTATTGACACATTGGCAGAGGGACTGAGAGAGAAGGGAGAAATACCCTATACACCGTGGTGTTTTCTTCTGGCTGGTGTTTTCATAGTAACCAAGTAACAACTGTTAAAAATTCAGCTTTATAATGAAACACCTTGGCTGCCAATTAACAACAGCTTCGAAAACTAATTTGCCTTTTGATAAAAACTGTTTTTCTTTATATATTCCCAGTTATTCCAAGTTCTGCCCCAAAATCAACATCACTGTACTTTTCAGTAAAATAGTCCTACTCACAACTTGTATACTTTGCATCATTTTTTCTTAAAGAAAAACACGAACAAACCAAAAAAATTTCTCATGAGTTTAAAGACTGGGAATTTTTCTATAGTGTGCATAGCTCTGTCATTTGTTCTGGGTTTAAAGCATGACCTAGTAGCCAGAGAAGAGTATTTCTGGATCACAATGATCTGCTTTCTCCAGAAAGTTCTCTGTAAGGGTAATGCTGCCAGGATTTGCCAAGAAAATAGGTGCCAGATAGGAAATGAACAAAAAAGTATATATATTTTCTGAAGTCAAAGAACAGAGACCTCTTCAGTGTAAAGATGTATTCTTTCAGGGATTAGATGATCCTCTGACTTCATTAGAAATGCTCTGAAAAATCCACATGCAGCAGAAAATTGGCTTATTCTTCATGGAGCAGCCATTTTAGCTGAGAATAATCTTAATAATTAGTTAATAATCTTATAATAATTAATTTAAATCTTACCACAGGGAAAGTTTATTAGGAATAGTACAATATTCCTGTTCTGTCCTTTTTTTCTTTTCTCTCTCTCTCTCTCTTTTTTTTGAATTGAACTCTGTCATCCAGGCTGGAGTGAACTGGCATGGCACGGCTCACTGCAACCTCAACTTCTTGGGTTTAAGCGATCCTACAGCCTCAGTCTCACAAGTAACTGAAACCATGGGTATGCGCCACCCCACCTGGCTAATTTGTGACTTTTTTTGAATGGACAGGGTCATACTATGTTGTTTAGTCTAGTCTTGAACTCCTGAGCTCAAGCAATCCTCCTGCCTCAGCCTCCCAGAGTGCTGAAATTATAGGCATGTGCCACTGTGTCTGGCCCATTATTTATTTATCTATTTTATTTAAAAAATGCAATATGAGAAAAAAGAAAAAGAAACTACTATAGTCACCTTTGAGAATATTCTAAATAAGGACCTGTTCCAACACTAAATCAATCATGCGGAGACAAGGTCTAAATTGACTTGTAACTAGTATGGAGATTAAATTAGTAATCGGACACTCCCAACAAAGAAAAGCCCAGGGTCATATGGTTTCACTGGCGAATTCTTCCATATTTTTCTATATTTAAATAAGAATGAACATCAATCCTCCTCAAACTTCTCCAATAAACTGAAGAGGAGGGAGCACTATCAAACACATTTTATGAGGACAGTATTACTTTGAGACTAAAGCTAGACAAAGACACCACAAGGAAACCACAGGTTGTATTCCTGATCAATATAGATGTAAACTCTCTCAATAAAATGCTAGCAAACCAAATACCACAGCATATTAAAAGGATCATAAACCATGACCAAATGCAATTTATCCCTGGGATACAAGGATAGTTCAACATGCAAAAATCAATTAATGTACTATGACAAATTAACAGAATAAAGGGTAATATCACATGATCATCTCAATAGAGGAAGAAAAGGCATTTGACAAAATTCAGCACATTTTTATAATAAAAACTCAGCAAACTAGGAATAGAAGGAGATTACCTCAACATAATAAATGCCATATATAAAACGTCCTCAGCTAACATCTGACTTAGCAGTGAAAACCTGAAAGCCTTTCCTCCAAGATCAGGAACAAGGCAAGATCAGAAACATGCCACTTCTATTTAACATAGTACCTGAAGTTCTAGCCAGAGCAATTAGACAATAACAATAATAGGCCTCCAAATTGGAAATGATAAAGTAAAACTGACCCTGTTTGCAGATAATTCAATCCTAAATACAGAAAACCTGAAAGAATCCATTAAAAAAAAAAAATACTCCTAGGACTAACAAACAAATCCAGGAACCTGTTTGTAATGAAATGCTTTATCTAAAAAACTGTGTTTTTGAATAATAGCAAATGAAAAGAAATAATTTATTAATTTAACTTGTCAATTTTCAACTGATATTTATAGCTTAAAAGGTATAAGGTGCAATATTTTTCACAGTTATATATTTTAAATATATTTTCAATTATCTATCTTCCCAAATAAGGCAGACTCTTTAGAAAAGCTCTCTGTTAAAGCCTAAACAATTTCCAACTTGGTTAAAAAAATGCGCACACACTTAAAATATGATCCTAAAACCTGAAATTTAGTTGGTTATGACACAGATTTAAGATTCATTTAGCCTGCCTTTAAAAGACACTGTTTAAACCGGGCTCGGTGGCTCAGCCTGTAATCCCGCGCCTTTGGGAGGCTGAGGTGAGTGGATTACCTGAGCCCATGGGTTCAAGACCCGCCTGGGCAACGAGACCTTATCTCTACAATAAATAAAAAAAAATCAGCCAGGCGTGGTAGTGCATGCCTGTAACTCCGGCTACTTGGAAGGCTGAGGTGGAAGGATCGCCGGAGCCCAGCAGGTTGAGGCTGCGGTGGCTGGGAGCGGCTACTGCACTCCAGTCTGGGCGACAGACTCAAAAAAAAAAAAAAAAAGACACTGTTTAATGATAGCTTAAGTATAATTGCAAAGAAATGCTAACATAAGGATTGAGGGATAGCATTCTGTAATGCTAAAATCAGAGTATGGGATTTGGACAAACATCCTCTGAATTTATACCTGGACTCTGCCTCTTACTAGCTATGTGGCATTGGGCAAATTACTTGATTTCTCTGTACTTGCTTAGTAAATTGGCTATGATAATATAATCATCCCCCTGGCTCATACATAATAAGTGCTCAAGATGGAACTTGTTTTAACTTTTACTTGATATCATACAGTCCAGTGTAGGAAGAAGAAAAGTCTTCACTTAGCACAAATCATATCTGATAAATGCTAAATAGCCACATTGAATTGAGATCTATATGGAAGGAATACCTCTTCTGCAATGCAGTCTTCCTAATTTTGTCTCTTACACAACCTAATTATGAAAGACTATGCTACCTGAAGATTTGAAGAATAGGATATAGTAAAGGCAACACATGTAACATAGTTCATAATGTGTTTTCTAAAGCTTGAACAAACTGACCCCTTTTCTGCTAGTGACACAGTACCACTAAGTATATCTTAGTAGCATTAAAATTATAAAAATTTAAGCTTTCTAAAGATTGCTGATATGTTCCTGTTACCAGTTAAATGAAGATCAATTATATAGTCACAACTCCTCAATGATGAAATGTAGCTATATTTGCTTTTCCTTATACACTTATGCATTTATATATTTTATCCGAAAACTATGAAATCTGGTCACAAAATAATTTTTTTCTCAAACTAGTTATTTGCATTCATATAGTTTCGTTCATTAGCTCAACATAAGACTCACCATATTTCAATTGAGAGTAAGTAGGAGTGGATATTATCCTTTTCATTATATAGTTTACTGACTAAACTAAGTGATTTTTGACATTCTAAAAATCAAATATAAATGAGAAAGAGTCAAAAGTCATTTAGAGTCATACCAGGATTATGGGCCTACTATATTCTTCTGGACATGTATTTGCATTACATAAAATTATTAGAACTCTTGCTAGTAAAGTCAGACCCTAGACAAATTAATTTGACTAGTTTTACTCATGGCATGTAATTTAATGGATTCATGTGATGTTATATACTTCATAATTACACTTCATATATTTCAAAAAGGAAAATTTACTTATATGTTATTACTATTGTAACTTTGGGAAAAAACAAGTACACACACGCACACATACACACACACTTCTTACCCAAGTGAGCAATAAATTTAAAACTAGAAGGTAAACAGAATCTCCTGGGAA